CTCTTTCAGATGCTGAATGTCCTAGTTTCCTAAACAAACTTTCCAACATAAACAAGAAAATAAAGATGGTCTCTCAGGTACTTGAAGAAATTAAAAGCCTCAATTTTCCAGACTTAAAGCACTTTCTGGTAGCAAATTCTCTTTTACTGCTTGTATCTTTCTTAAGTTGCCAGAACGGCTCCTTCATTGCAGTTGAGTTTGCCATGGAATCATGGAATGGTTTGGGTTGGAAGGGACGTCAAAGATCATCTAGTTCCAACCCCCCTGCCATGGGCAGGGACACCCTCCACTACACCAGGTTGCCCAAAGCCTCATCCAACCTGGCCTGGAACACTGCCAGGGATGGGGCAGCCACAGCCTCTCTGGGCAACCTGTGCCAGTGCCTCATGGTGCAGGCTAAGCAGCATTCCAGGCCTAGGAGGGTCCTTCTAGTGTTTAGCCTCTCCTCTACAGCCTTGGGCTCAAACTCCTCACTATCGTCCTGAGGACAGCTACAGTTAAATCAAAAGAACACTGTAAATGGAAAACGATGAAGCAAGTGCTTTAAGAAATCCCTGATTAATATAAGCCATTGTCAGACTGAAGCAGAACTTGTGTAGAAAAACCCCAAACTAGTCAAGCCCAAATCAGAAGCCGGCCACATGAAGCAGTCTAGCTGCACGCCTTTAGCATGTTTTTCTGACTTTCATATAACATGTTTATAAATATAAAAATGAAGTGCTAAGCATGTCCGTCATACCAGAATTCCTTCCGCACAAAAGACATGCATTTAGAATCTAGAAGTTGGTGTTGTTATCACCACACCATGAATAATCATGTCTTGATCAGCAACAAGTTTATCATAAAGTGACTCCTGGGTACCTAGTGAATGCTTAGGGCAGAATGTTCTTCGATGCTGTCCAGAGTAAAGGAAAAAAAACCCCAAAACTATTGAGAGCCAGGTGTCGTCGGAAAAAGAGCTCTGTTTCTGTGAGACAGAAGAGAGTTTGCTCCACGCTTTATGCCTGAGAGCTTGGAAACGAAACATGAGGGCATTGTAAGGACACCACCAAGCTTAATATGTGCAGTACACCCCTCCAGGAATAATTACATACTTGTTCTCAAAAGGAGAAGAATGTCAAAAAGGAGATTTTAGTATTAGAGATTTACTGTGCCACATCTCTCTGGAAAAACTAACCTGCAAGTACCATTTGCTTGTAAATTGAGAGACAGATATTTCGGTGCATTTGCACCCTGTGTGCTTTTAGGAGGAGAAAACGTGTTAAGGTTATCAGATAGCCCTGCCTCTTCTGCAAAGTCACTGCAGCACGACTGATTTACCCAGATTTCCCAGCTTCAGGACAAGTTTTTAACAGTTCATGTCGTTCCAGCTTAAAAACTGAAAACACAGGTTACGCACTTTAGTTATCAAACTAGGAGTTTGATACAAACTGTGTTTGTTCAAACACAGCATGAAAGTGACATGTTTTCAGTGAAAACATATAAAAAGTAACCAAATCAGTTACCGGAAAACTCTTCAGTCACAACAGTAACTCTTGTTGCTACCCTGCAGGACTTTCTCCATAAGAGGTGACTGGATTTTACACTGATTACCCAGTTCTGTATAGTGATAAGGCATTTATATTTCTTACGGCCTGGAGATTATATTCCTTATGGAATATTAAATCCTGGAGACTTATATTCCTTATGGCCTGACACCAAGTTGTGTGGTGTTGTGGACACGCTGGAGGGAAGGGATGCCATCCAGAGGGACCTGGACAGGCTGGAGAGATGGGCCTGTGAGAACCTCATGAAGTTCAACAAGGCACAAGGCCAAGTGCAAGGTCCTGCACGTGGGTCGGGGCAATCCCAAGCACAAGTACAGGCTGCGTGGAGAATGGATTGAGAGCAGCCCTGAGGAGAAGAACTTGGGAGTGCTGGTGGGTGAGAAGCTCACCATGAGCCGGCACCGTGCGCTGGCAGCCCAGAAAGCCAACCGTGTCCTGGGCTGCATCCAAAGCAGCGTGGGCAGCAGGGCGAGGGAGGGGATTCTGCCCCTCTGCTCTGCTCTCTTGAGAGCCCACTTGCAGTGCTGCGTTCAGCTCTGGGGTCCCCAACACAAGAAGGACATGGAGCTGCTGGAGCAAGTCCAGAGGAGGCCACAAAGATGATCCGAGGGCTGGAGCACCTCTGCTACGGAGACAGGCTGAGAGAGTTGGGGCTGTTCCGCCTGGGGAAGAGAAGGCTCCGGGGTGATCTTATTGCAGCCTTTCTCAATCTCATTTCTGTTCTACTCCCTTTATATCAAGGGAGAACCAGAACTTTCACTGCTCCAAACTGCTGAAGCAGTGTTCACCCCCCATAGTGGACAGGAATCCTTCATGACCAAATCTAACTTAGGCTGTGGCACCCTATGCTGGGAAGAGAGGGAAAATCCTGCTAGTCTATATATTTTTTTTTTTTTCCCTCCTGTTCTCCATCAGACAATAAGCAATATGACGTTTTCTAAAATTTTTTAGAACTGATGGTTTTAAACACTCCTACAGGTTGAACCATTCCCCCATACTAGAACGTCTGGCTGGACTGTTTTCTGAGAATAAGATGTTGTAAGTTACAACATGTTACTATGACATGAAAAGCATGTGCTGGCATTAGTCATTCAATATCTTGTCCAGTATTTTTATACTTGTGCTACAATATCCAAATGCTACAAGTTTGGTGCTAACAAAAGGAAGAAAAAAAGATACCTTTTGTATCCTTAGTTTCGTCTTTCAGGAACCTGTGGTAGAGATTCCTGACTGCTGCATTCATAGATTTCAAAGGCTGATGCAGGATCTTGTACTTGCCCACCACCGCCTTGTTAATATCCGTAACAACTGCGTTAACCTGATTGTACGTCAAACGACCTTTCATATACCTACAAATAAAAATAAAAATCAGTAACCAGAAAGTCACAAACGAAGTTCCATGTTTATATTTTTCTCTTTCATCGCCTTAATTGAACACGTTATTCGCAGTTAGCGGCAGTTCGTTCTGCTCTGCGTTAATGAATAAACGTAGTAGATAATTTTGTTCATTTCCTTGATTGTTTAATAATCTCGAAGGTAAAAAAGCCACCATAAAACCTAAAGCAGAAGGATGAAACTTTAGAAAGCTAAATTAAGAAGTAGAAAATGTGCAGTGCTTAAGCTGTAAGGAACTTTTCAAAATGGAATGAAGGTTGCTTTTATAGCGTACTGCTTAAACTACAAATGCAGAAAAATCAAGCAGCTTTGCAGAAACCAAAACCAAAATCACAGAATGTCAGGGATTGGAAGGGACTTCAAAGGATCATCTAGTCCAATCCTCCTGCTGGAGCAGGACAAATGAAATGTTTCTGTCTAAAAGTGCAGTTTGGTTCATATTATAATCACAAGTAACCTATGTTTGGTCTTACAGCCATCCCTTTGTTTCTTGAGGAAATATCAGTTTTGTGTTGTTTACTATATTTTGTTGTGCAGACACAGTTCTGCACTACCAACACCCACTTCCGAACTTCCAGAGCATTTCATAAAAGTAGTCCTAAATTAATAAGATCTGTTGATCACAACCTAGAGGCAAGGGAAGCACAGAAGATAAAAACAAAGCGATGTGGAAATGTTAGCACACTGGGATATTTGCAAGGAAGGTTATTCAGTATTTATAGAAGTAAAGGCAGGCATTCAAAGAAAAGGAAGCATGCTACAAACTGAGAAGCCCTTATGTAACAGCAGAATCTGAAACTCCTATGACAAGCAGTGAATTAAACACACAACAAAAGCCCAGAAAACACCGCAGGGAGAGCCAGGGCAACCTGGCCACCTGAATCACCCTGTCATCACCACTCAGTCGCCACAACAAGCCAAACCTGGCTGCGTGCGTTTGGTTCAGTGTCAGTTTGCAGATGTGAGAAATTGAGAAATGTGTTACAATTCATTTCAAGAATGAACAGGGTTCTTTAGGTCAGTGTATCAGGTGGCTGCAGGCTGTAGGACAGGAATACTGAAAAGATCAATGAACAGGAAATTAAAATTCCTCATTTTAATCTGAACGGAAAAACTCCACCTTGGGAACACATACAAAGAATTTAAAGCACAAGTAGCTAATCAATTACAAATTCAATATTCCAGACCAGAGTGCAGGCAGGCATTCTACAACTGGCAACTAAAAATAAGTGTTTTCTGTGGATTTTAATAGCCTGTCCTTGCCGGGGAGACAGGTCTGCATGGAGTATGTAAAAACTCTTGAAATCGAAATAATTGCTCTAATTTCAGACTGAATTGCTACTAAATCATTTGCAGCCAGTTTTCAACTTTACTGATATTTTGATTAATCCTGACTCAAAGTTGGAGATGCAGACATTTTTATAAAAACCACTACTTTGGACACATAGCATCTTTTCAAATAAAAGCAGCACTGCCACCCCTGAAACGCAGTCACACTCAGCATAAACAAGCAGCACAGCCTATAACCACAGAAGGGCTTTGCCTCTATACATTAACTGCTATTTATTGCTCTATCTGCATCCCTTGGCCTATTTATACAGTCACAGGGGATGTGCAGAGCCATGAAGATTAAGGCCAGAGGTATAAAATACTTATATTTAAGTTCCTACACTCCCACTATCAATAGACATACAGTGAATCCATTTAATAAAGCCAAGAGAACACCTCAGCTCAGCTCATCCTGAAGCAGAAACAGAGAAGTAGGATTTGGTTGTCTAAACCTAAGAACCAGGTGCTCTTTGAGAGGCCCTCAGGCATAGCTCTGGGGTCCCCAACACCAGAAGGACATGGAGCTGCTGGAGCGGGTCCAGAGGAGGCCACGAAGATGATGCGAGGGCTGGAGCACCTCTGCTATGGAGACAGGCTGAGAGAGTTGGGGCTGTTCAGCCTGGAGAAGAGAAGGCTCTGGGGTGATCTTATAGCAGCTTTCCAGTACCTAAAGGGGCTACAGGAAAGCTGGAGAGGGGCTTTTCCAAGGGCGTGTAGTGATAGGACAAGGGGCAACGGATTTAAACTGAAAGAGGGGAGATTTAGATTGGATCTAAGGAAGAAATTTTTCATCCAGAGGGTGGTGAGGCACTGGAACAGGTTGTCCAGAGAAGTTATGGTTGCCCCATCCCTGGCAGTGTTCAAGGCCAGGTTGGATGAGGCTTTAGGCAACCTGGTGTAGTGGAGGGTGTCCCTGCCCATAGCAGGGGGGTTGGAACTGGATCATCTTTGAGGTCCCTTCCGACCCAAACCATTCTGTGATCCTATGATTCTATGATCCAAGATGCTCACGCAGGGCCAGCAGATGTGCTGGGCTTTACGGAAAATTCAGTAATTCAAGATCTGGCAACACATGCTAAAGCATCTGCAACGGCACCAGGCGGTTCTGCTCAGGCAACTGAAATCACACTGTCAGCAGCCGAGTCGTTCTCTGGTTTCGCAGTCTGTACTGACGAGACCTGTGCCACAGACACTTAATGTAGGTGCCTTAATCTGAAACGAAATTCTGTCAAAAGCAATGGGAATTTTTCTCCTCCAAGGATCAGAAAAACTCCAGCTGTTGCACAGTCTTCTCATGTTTCTATCCAGCCATGGCTGGCAAATCCATCAGCACTGACATTTATTTCAGTCCATACACTAATATAAAAATACAAACTTCGAGTTCCAAATCCATCCATTTAATTTAGATTTAAAGTCACTTTAAAATCTGCCTCACTCCACCAAATGCGAAAACATTCAAAACTTTTTTTTTTTTTTTCTTCTTCAAACAAGTGACCCAATTTCTTTTTTTAATCCACAGGAGCTCTTTTCAAAACATTTTTTTTCTATAGGTATGAAAAGCAAAGCGCAGTGCTTTGCTTTCTTTTCTTCAAAGAAAAGAACAACATCAATATATGACATATACATCACTGGAAAAGAGATAAATCTCCTAATGGCCAACCCTGCTCCCTCAAAAACGCTTAGGCTAAAAGAAATATATACATCCCCAAGTCACCATCTTCTGAGACTTTAGCTATAATGAACGTGCAGATTCTAAAAATATCTTAAGTGTTAAGAATTTCATACATGGAATAAAGAAAGCATTTTCCTTTGCCTTCAATTCAAAGCTAACTGAGACACCTACCGTGCAATTTCCTTTTTCTTCCTCCAAAAAGTGTCTTTCTGCAACAGATTCGAAGGCTAAGATAATTTGCAAGTTTCCTGCTGTGTGAGCGTGTGTTATTTGATCAAGGTGCTCTATATCTGCACCTTAACACAGCACGTACCTTTGCTAAATACCTGCTGGAGAGTTCTGAAAATATGAAGTCACTGGAGGCTGTATAGCCTTTTTTGTGCCCTAATGATGTCAGGGATAGGTTTTCCTTTGCTTTCAGCACAAAGCGGGGGAAAACAGCTCGATTTTTCAGCTACAGTCTGCCACAGCTGACTCTCCACAGGGAGAGAGGAATGAGACTCTCAGCAGCTGCAAAATCCACGATACCCAGCTGGTATGGAATTTAGACATGGGCAATGCATATGCACAGCTGCACTTTGTTAAAGTCCCTCGGGCAGGCTCAGCACAGGCATAGTCCTGTTGGGGGACTGGACTAGGTGATCCCTTGAGGTCCCTTCCCATCCCTAACTTTCTGTGATTCTGGGACCAGAGCTGCATAACAACGCAGTACTATTCCTTGTTACTTTTGATAGCAGGCATAGAGATGCTACATCAGAACCAGTGCTGGCCTGAGACCTGGTGTGCCAACCTAAGTCTCATTCTTCTAGGAGAATGTAATAGGTGGGAGAAGATTCGGATCACAAACATTTGCTGCTTAGTTCTCACTGAATAGTATGTGAAATTGCAAGCTTAGCCAGCTCCGCCAGCCTCATACTGCAACACTGCTAGGCAATGGAAAAAAACGGTAATTAATAGAGCTATTTAAATTTTATGTAAATCTTCCCCCACAGAAGAAACATGCTTCTCCTATCCGAATAAAATAAAAATATTTCTATAGCCTCATGAGCACAGTCTAAGATGCAACCTTCCTATAAACCAGTGATGAATATAAGAGCATCCAGCTGGCCTCTGTCCCCATTCTCCTCACCTGCAAGCTGTAGTGGAAAATCTTCCACTTTCAAGGATAATTAAGCACTTCAAGAGGTTATCAGGGAAGATCACAGCTTTAACTGGAGGTTAAAACATTTGGCTGGAATGGGCTCTGTCTGCTTCTCTTGCTATACAGAGATAAAGAACAAAAATTCCCATGCTCCACCTTTTACCTTTCCAAAATATTATCAGGAGAGAAGAACCTAATGGAGTAAATCCACCAAATACTGGAGATGATCTGCAGACAAAAAACACCATGGGCACGCACTTTCAAGAAGTAACAACAAGAGTCCATTATTATTAGCTCAACATTCAGGATCCTTCATTTTTTTGGATTGAACGATTTGGTGGCAGAAAACGGACACTGCTCACTTGAAAATTTTGAAAGCTATAAGCAAAGATGATTTGAAAGCCTCAAGCACTACAGGCTCAAAAAAAAATAATTCTTATTGAAACAAGTGTTGTCAGAGGACACATTGGATCTAGAGTCTAGATAACAATTTAGCCTTAGGCATTAAGAGAATTTTTTCCTTTTTGCAGAAATGTTTGTCATTGTCCACAAAATGCCATTTAAAAGAACTTATTCCCAGATGACAGACTTGGGGCAAGGATATCTATTAATCAGGTCCTGATGGTGGGGAAAGCTTTCTACTTGAGAAATTTGGGATATTTCAGTGGGAAGTGGTTTTGCTTTTAACAAGTCTGATTTCTTTTCCTGTCTCAAAACAGATTGGTAAGTTAAGACCTGAAGTTTTCAGAAAACAATAATTGGGTCAAATAAAAAACACTATTTATCCTTATTTTTCCTTTTAAGTGTAACCATAACTTTCATCTTATGAGATGATGGCTCTTTTTTTAAAAAAAAGTCAGTTCTCAAAACAAGAAGAGAACCCAACAATTAGCTAATATATTTCTGTTCATACAACTAAAGTGACTTTTGAGATAAGAGGTTTAGGTTTTAACTGATTAGTTCTGATCTTCCCAACATATACATAAAAAAAGAACCTAATTAGCATTTCGTGTTCAGGTTTCCCAGTATTGCATACAAACTATTTGGAGTTATCATGATGATGTTGCATCCTGTGGAACATTTAAAATTTCAAACCATCTCTGTCAGTCTCCGTTCTGCATGTGCTCACTTTCCCTAACCTATTTTTGCCAAGCAAATCGGCACGGAAAGTCATGTTTACTTACGTGGGAACACTTTGAAATTCTTCTATAGTTATTAATGGTACTTTTTTAACAGGTATTGGCTTTTTTGTAGTTTTCTTTGCACGTTCAGATTCTACAACTTTTGGTTCTTCTTCAGGTTTCTCAGTTCGCTTAGTGGTGCTGTAAAATAAGTGAATATTAAGTGTAAATAGCAGACAAGCAGTAAGGAGAATACCATTATCTTACCCAGTCTGCTTACTCATGGATCTAAGTTCCCACCCATCTGTTAGGCTGGATGAACACAAATCACAATCTTTCCTGAAATAAAAATAAATAAAGCAAGCCCGCTCTGTTTCAAATTGCATGCTTCAGCTGACTTCATTACAGCTCTTCGTTTCCCTGCCAGAGAGGCTGCCAGCAGGTGAACTGGAAGCAGTCCAAATGCAGCACAGAGCAGTTAAGAATTCAATGTACCATTACATTTCACAGAACATGAGGCCTCGCTTTTCATCAGATGAAGCAGAGCGCAGAGCTGCAGCCTGACAGGCAGAGTTGAAATACTTCACAGCTCTTTGAAACAAGTTCAGATCTCGGGAAGCCTGACTCATCCATTCATCTGCTGAAGCAAAGAAATTCAACGCCATCCAGCAGGCTGGGATTTTTTATAATTATATATATATATAAAGTATATATCGCAAAAGCTGAGGAGTTTCCTGCTTTGAGGGATTATCAGAGCATTATTTTTACAAATTCATGCTTCTTCCAAATCCTCAGTTGAGAGCCTCAAACACTGAGTTGTTTGCCAGCCACCCACCCAGCTACTCGTCGGCAGGAGGACAGCAAAGAGGATGCATGGGGCCAAATTCACTGCCAACTGAATACGAGGACATTATTGGGCTGTGACACTCAACAGAAATAACTAATGCAGCACCAAGCTGACCTGTCACAAGGAACTGGTCCTCCACGTTGATCTAACCTTCCCACAAGAAGAGATCTTTGCTCAACGTGGGGCCCTACGGCCAGCGAATGGTACAGCACTGCCTCTGTTGACCTGAGGGCCGGAATTTGATGTATCCCTGGCTGTGACACCCCAAAATCCCCCGTCCCACTTCCCAGAGAAGATGACTGCAGGGCAGAGGACAGTGAGTGCCACCTGCTGGACTCCCAGACTGTCTGGTCAGTGACACAGGAAGCTCTACTCCATCCCATGCCACCACACAGAGCCCTTCTGAAATCCTGGACACTGACAGTTACACTAATTCAGACATCAACATCTGAAAAATGAAGCCAGGCCCTCCACAAAACTAAACCTGGCACCTTGGAGCTAGCTCTAATTGCAGGGAATGCCAGAAAAGAGGGAAAGGTGGAGATTTTTGGTGCTGCTGGAGGTAGGTTTGGAATAGAAAGAAAAACACAAGGACCAAGAGAGGCGAGAGTTCACATCTTAAAACCTCACTAATCCTCTACACCTGTCATCCTCCTTGCTGCAATGAACCTTTTATCTTTTATAGATGACTCCACACTCCCAGGTACTTCTGCTTTGGGTTCCCACCTACTACCTTGCCTCCATATTGCTGCAGTGAGATGGTATATATACAGTTCTCTGCTGACCTGGACCACGAAAAGAAAGAAGTGAAGCTTATATTCAAACTCTGCCTTTGGTGTAGTGAAAAACTGCTCCCTCAAATTTGAGACCCCACCTGGAATACTACATTCAGCTGTAGAGTCCCCAACACAAGAAGGACATGGAGCTGTTAGAGCGGGTCCAGAGGAGGTCACAGAGATGATTCAAGGGCTGGAGCACCTCTGCTATGGAGACAGGCTGAGAGAGTTGGGGCTGTTCAGCCTGGAGAAGAGGAGGCTCTGGGGTGACCTTATTGCAGCCTTCCAGTGCCTAAAGGGGGCCTACAGGCAAGCTGGAGAGGGACTTTTTACAAGGGCGTGTAGTGATAGGACAAGGGGCAATGGATTTAAACTGAAAGAGGGCAGATTTAGATTAGATCTAAGGAAGAAATTCTTCCCGCTGAGGGTGGCGAGGCAGTGGAACAGGTTGCCCAGAGAAGCTGTGGCTGCCCCATCCCTGGCAGTGTTCCAGGCCAGGTTGGATGAGGCTTTGAGCAACCTGGTGTAGTGGAGGGTGTCCCTGCCCATGGCAGGGGGGTTGGAACTGGATGATCTTTGAGGTCCCTTCCAACCCAACCATTCTATGATTCTATGATTCAGTAAACACTTGGAACTGAAATGGCTTTTTATTTCAGTGAGATTCCCCTGGTAAATTAGAACACTAAAACCAGGAACTCAGGAGAGAAACAATAGCTAAAGCCATGAATTGTTCAATTCCTCTGTGTGGGCGTTTTCACTCTTTCTGAGATTTGAAGGCCTGTCTCACCAGTGTTCAAGTGCTCGCCTTGCTTTCTGCACTACTTATCTCCTGATACTCACTGAACAGATAATTAGTACTCAGCTCCCCAAACATTTTGGGATGTAGAGAAACAGACATGGAGAAAGGTTTGGAGAAGAGGACTGAAGACCCATTTACAGTGCTACAGAGTGATTCGGACCAATTACAGTCTGTTTTGCACTTGCTTGATCATCCACTGCACTACACAGTGAACACCATGAAGTGACAACTCGGGACAAAGGAGAAAGGGTGCTTTGACAAACAGCATTAACATATAACGTATTACTCCTCCGGAAAAAACACCACCACAAACTGACACTGATAGAACACCAACTGTTACCTGGCAGAGCATAATCTGCAGAAAATCATTAGAAAAACTTCCTTAGTTTTACAAGCGTAGTTCTGTCTGGAAAGGAAGGAGCAGCTAAACTTGTATCACAGTTAGCTTCTGGATCAAAAGCAGGACAAGATGGGAAAGGTGTCTTGGTTTCACTGGGATAAAATCATAGAATAAATTTCCTGCTCAGAGAAGCTGCATCTCTGCAGCACGCCGCGGTTTTAGAAAGGCTGCAGCACCCGACCCAGCAGGAACGAAGCTGATAAGACCCTCTCTGCTTCAGCTTGCAGCCCCCGCGGTGGGCAGGTGCCCGCAGTGCTCAAGGACTTTGCCACTTGTTTTTGCTGGCGGCCCCGATGCCCAAGGACCCGGGGGAGCACGGCCGGGGCGACTGACGCCCGAGCTGGCACACGGGTGTTCCGTACCGTGTAACATTGTTCTCCCCATAAACTGGAAAGTTTGCTGGGACAGGCTCTCTCTTTCTCCTCTCTGTCTCAGCGGTCACTGTCCCTGGAGGGTCTCGCCTGTCCTTCTGCTCCTGAGGCCTAACTCCCTCTCTTCTGGGATTGTGGTTTTGGGACTTTCCTTCTCTGGGATCGCTGGCCAGGAACAGGCTGGACAGTGTCAAAGGGGTGGTGAGCAGTTGTACATCACTTGTCTGTACATATTATTGTTGTTATCAAGACTATTTTCCATGTTATTTTAAGCTATTTCAATTATTAAATAGTTCTTATCTCAGCCCATGGGTCTTCCTTCCTTTTCCTGATTGCCCTTCTTGAGCGGGGAGGGGTCACTGGGTGCTGAACCAGCTGCCTGGTGTTCAGCCCCAGATACAGCCTAAACACAGACAAAGGGAAATCAACATCCCAAAGAATTGTTTTGATATCAGAGGTGACACTATCACTAAACAAGCCTCACTTGCATCTGAACAACTCCCAGTAGCTAACATAGTCATAAGACAAAGGTTTTTCCTAAACTAAGAAAGTAAGTTGCAAAAGAAAGGCAGAACCCTAGTGATAATTTCTGAAGAACTTCCATTGTTTCATACCCGCAGAAAAAAATTCTGCAACATCTAAATGGAAAAAGACACGTTCTAGGTGGCCATTCCCTACAACTGAGGGTTCACGTCTGAAGGGCAGCATTCAGAAAAAAACTTCTGCACGAGTCATCTCTTTAACAGCTAAGACTAGTCCAAGGTTTAATACAAGCAATACCTACACAGATGAGAACATTGCTACGCACTAAAATTACAGCTCATTTTCCTCTTCTGTAACCCTGTTCCCACATCCTTAACCTTTCACTTTGCTGGAATATGCCTGTAACGTTTTCAGCCTGAGGCTTGCCTGGCATTACGAGCAAGACCCGGTAAAGCTGATAGATTTAGGGCACATAATGGAAGTGCTGAATTCAAATAGACTGATGCACTGCCTTCTGACAAGCTCTAAGGGTGGAAACAAGTTTTAGGATCTCCAGACATTGGAATCTAGAAGCGACCCCCATCTGGCATACACGAACATCACTCAAAAATAAAAAGCCGTTCCAACAGGTCAGAGAAAGAGCCAACCACTCTGAGAAACCTAGTCAGTTATAACGTCTTAGAAGCCTTTTGAATAATAGTTATTGTTTCACACATTTGAGTCTCATTCTCTCACTTGAGCTACGTTATTACAAACAACTTCTTAGTACAGGTTTCCCAAAGGCAGGTAGATGTCATTGCTAGCTAAAATAAATGCCAGGCTGCTGGAGGGAAAGGAGAATAAAAATACTGCAACCGTAATTCAAGTTCTGATGGAAGGATGACTGAGTCACAGGATTTTTTTAAAAACTGTATTTGCAAGGGCAGCATTGAACTTCAGTTCTAGTGAACACTGGAACAGGCTGCCCAGAGAGGGTGTGGAGTCTCCTTCTCTGGAGATGTTCCAAACCCGCCTGGACATGTTCTTGTGTGATCTGATCTAGGTGGTCCTGCTCCGGCGGGAGGATTGGACTAGATGATCCTTTGAGGTCCCTTCCAATCCCTGACATTGTGGGATTCTGTGTGACCTAGCATTTGGATCACTAACCCACTCTTTAGTTCTTAGACACTGGTTATCAGATCAACGTGTTTACAATTCTAAAGCAAGGAGTGCTCAGATTTCTAGAAGAACTAGCTTTCCACTATAATGTCACACCTGCCAGTGGAAGCTTCCATCTGAACAACTTGTTTTTTATAGGTTTTACCTGAGGGATTTGTTAGGGCACTAGCACAAGCCTGGCAGTGAACAGTCAAGAGCAAACTCTGGTATAAATACACATAACCACCTTGGCTCCCAAACATTCAGAGTTAACATACAGCAAAGGGAGTAGAGCCATACAACACTGCAGCTGGACACTGCCAGGAGCAGCCCAATGCCTCCATACTCATGTACCACATACCAGCACGCAGTTGGTTTAGGCAGATAGGTAGGAATGTTTTCAGAGAGGTGCCGTGCTTCATCTAGATCTCTTTCAGCAGACTTCTGGAGCTCCTGAAATTAATGTTAGACTTCCATCAGAAATTTGAAACTTTATGCCAAGCAAGTAAAAATAGCTTGCTATTAGGATGATGCTAAAATAATTTTTCAACTTGAGAGGTGTTCTTTGCTCTCTCTCCATCATCTTACCTCTCAACCCTCTAATTTCTCCAAGAGCAACCAGCAAAGATCAGAAAAACAAAGCTAAGAGTGAGAAAACAGAAGCTTCTCTGTCCTTGCCATCCTCAAGATGTTAGAAAAAACTGAGTGGGCAAGTAAATCTTTAACAATATACCCTATCAAGTCTGGGTGGTGAAGAGATGCTACAGGAACCTCATCTACAGTCCCCAAACGACACTTTGACAAAAGCCTTAGCACGTGAAGGCACTGCAAACACACACTACAACAGCAAATATTCTAATTAAATAGTTCTTACAGCTATTGCAAGGATGTAAAAACAGAGCTGCTCTTTAGATCACAGTATCTATTACGATAAACACATGCTTTCAATGTATAAACCTTGAAAAATAAAATTTTTAATGTTTAGTATGCTGGAGCACTGCTTAATAAACCATCAGTAAGCCTGTTCCAAGCCTCAGTTTCTCTTGAGGGCACACGCATCTGAACATATCACTGAGGATCTAGAAAAAAAAACACAACTAAGCACTTATCAAAGATTCCTTTGAATCTTTCAGTATTTTATGAACAGGAAAAAAAATATTACCTTTAGCAAATTTTTCAGTTTTTCTTGCTGTTGAACTTCCTCTTCCATTTTATTCAGGAGATCATGCAAGAGATACATCTCGTTCCCTATGTTACAGAGCATAGATCTGAAGGATGGCTCTTGACCTGTCAAAGACAGAACGTTAAGCCAAAAAGCCAAAACACTTCCAACACAAAACCAAAATCCCACTTCCCGCCCCTCCACAAGCAGTGATTATCTGCTACCTCTATGCTCCCTGACCACCATATCTTCCCAGGAGAAGCAGCAATATCATCTGGTCAAACACTCAATCTCCTTACAGCAAGAGTTCAAAGCTGCTGCAGGAATAAAGGCACTCAGCTCCAGCACGAGGCTGGAAAGAGCCAAGTCGTATCCGTTACCGCTGTAGGTTGCAGGTGGAGGACAAAGCTTTTAAACACAGCCTGGCTTTTGCAACTGCCTGGCTGCAGCGCCCTGTTCTCCCTCACAATCTTCAGAGTTACAGCTCCTCTTCCAACAGGAGGTTAGTCTAGATGACCAGATGACCCTCCCAACCAACATTTATATCATCCTGTGTAACCTCTCTTTGAGCCTAGGAAAAGATAAGAGATGAATCTAAAACATTTAGATCAATTTCAGCTCTGGGGTCCCCAACACAAGAAGGACATGGAACTACTGGAGCGAGTCCAGAGGAGGCCACAAACATGATTCAAGGGCTGGAGCACCTCTGCTACGGAGACAGGCTGAAAGAGTTGGGGCTGTTCAGACTGGAGAGAAGGCTCTGGGGTGATCTTATAGCAGCCTTCCAGTACCTAAAGGGGGCCTACAGGAAAGCTGGAGAGGGGCTTTTTACAAGGGCGTGTAGTGACAGGACAAGGGGCAATGGATTTAAACTGAAAGAGGGGAGATTTAGATTAGATCTAAGGAAGAAATTTTTCACTCAGAGGGTGGTGAGGCCCTGGGACAGGTTGCCCAGGGAAGCTGTGAATGCCCCATCCCTGGAAGTGTTCAAGGCCAGGCTGGATGAGGCTTTGGGCAACCTGGTGTAGTGGAGGGTGTCCCTGCCCATGGCAGGGGGGTTGGAACTAGATGATCTTGAAGGTTCCTTCCAACCCAAACCATTCTGTGATTCTTAAATAAGTTTGTTACCCACTGTATGTTTACATCACAGCCAGGCACGCCTGTAATGCTAGGACAAGACACCTCTATAAACCTCCACCTGTGCCTTTGCACATTTTTGTAATTTGGCTTGCCATACTCGCCAAGATATTTTTTCTTCTCCCATCTGGAGCATTCCCCACCAAGCATATAGAACAAGATGTATTAACCACCAGTCTCTAAGTCCCTCAGAGGAGCACACTTTCACTTAGCTCATGTTCTCCACTGGGCACCTGGTTCCCTGAAAACGCTCTCGTTTTGCCATCCTCGCTCATTTTTTTGGTTGTTGCTGCTCTCTGTGTTTTACTTGATTTCCACTTCATGTTACACTCCATGTCTAATCAGAGTATTCCCATTTCCCAGAAGGAGGTGCAAACTAAAACCCTCTCTTAATTTCTTTTACCAATGTTTCTTAATTGAAGAGTCTTTTTAATAGCTGAAATCTTCATGTTGATATGCGTGCATAAGCCTTCCAGGTCTGAGGATGCCATATTCCTCTGTTATCACACTGAGGGAAAATAAAAAAGAACAGGGTTATTTAAGAAAGACCTAAGCACACAAGCAGAATTTAAAAAAGGGCTCTGATCTGTCAGAGAAGCAAAGGGAACTTAAACGAGGTAATGTAATGAAGTAAATGTATAAGGTCGTTATTACTAACGAAGTAAATGTCATAACTACCTTTGTAAGGTAGTTATTACTAATATAAGGTAGTTATTTCTAATGAATTAAGTGTAATAAGCACCTTTTATTTTGCTGAGTTGGAAACGTACAGTGTGACTGACACGAGACACCAAGCAATTCCGCTGGGCTCTGGAGATGAGCGCGGGGTAACACCAGTACAGCCATTCCTCACAAAACTGGACAAGTATTACACCAAAGTGCTCGCTACTGGAGAAGACGGCAATTTCCCGCAATAAAGAAATACCTGGTTTATACGAAGCAGTGCTACAAGGCTCCCCGCCCCTTCCTCACCTCAGGAGGAAC